GCAATTTTGGACAGGGCCTGACAACAAAGTCCTGTTTTGAATAATGTTGGATGTTATATGAAGCCAAAAAGAGTCTAGGACATTTTTTTCCTTTCATTACCTCATTGTACTTGTCTGCCAAAAGCAGCTAGAAGGCAGGTGCCTGACTAACATAAGTTACTAAAGGAAAAAAGAATGGGGTCCAGAGTTTTAGAAGATGCTGCTGAATTGAGGTACGAAGAAAAAAAGAACTGGGAAAGAATGAAGCAGGGAGGTGAAATGAGAAATGGCTGCAGGAGAATATTCTCAAGCATTGCCCTGACATTGGAGACAATGGACCAATGATCTCTGGGATCACTTCATAGTCTCTTCTCAAATCTTTACGTATCATTTTCTCACTATGTATTCTTGTGTAGCGGGTGAATAACAGACAAAAAAAATAAAGAAATAAGGACTTTAAAGGTAGCAGTTATAAAACAGATTGAAAAATTTAGATGTTATGGGTATGAATTTGCAAATACTGGAGATCCATTTGGACACTGGAAGGGGATCTTAGAGATCACTCTTTCATACACCTGTTATGACTCTCAAGAAAACACTAGTGGAATCATTTATTCTACAGGGCAAGGGACTAGATTTGTTTTCAGAATTTCATTGTGGGAAGGAAAAACCTAGGGGTTCAGGGAAGGTAAACCTCTGTTTTTTAAGTGTATTAGCTCCTGAGGACTGAGGTTAGAGGTTTTGTAAGCAATTGAAATGTTGTGACTGCTGAACAGATATTAATTAAGTAACAATATGAAGGTAACTGATCTTCCTTACATAGTAAAACATAAAATGAAATTGAAGCATTTACCCACATAACCAAAGTTTGAGCAGGAATGGGGAAACTGTTCAAGTGTATTTATTATTAATGTAATATCATTTAAAATGGGTTTCCAATATGATGTTATAGTCTTTAATCATTCAGATTTCTTAAATTAGAATGTTATAGTTTGAAAAAATTATACAATACTCTCAATATGCCTGGAAAAGCATATTTATATAGCTCGATAAACTGAAATGCAGGGTTAGTATATTGGAAGTAGGATGATGCAGTGTAGAAAGCGACTTGTTTTCAAATTCTGATTCTATGACTGTCTATTAGTATGATCTTGAGAGAATCACTTCTCTGTGGGCCTCAATTTCCTCATCTTCAAAACAAGAAGGTTAGACTGAGTGATTTCTAAGATCCCCTTCCAGTTCCAGATTATGCTTCTGTGATTTGTTAGGGTTCAAGGAGGCAATAGGAAATTACTGGACTTCAGTGATTCCTCCAGCCAGCACATATTTTGTGGCTTCCTTAATTTTCCACCTCACAAAGCAATCAGTAAGGTAGACGTTTTCTCTAATAAGATTTCTTTATTTCAACTTATTTCATATTTCCCATTACTTGTAAAAAGCAAAACTTTCTCTTGGTTATTATAAATAGTAGTGGTAATTTTTTTTCAATTTTTACATTTTTTTTCATTTACTAACACAAAAGGTATGAATACTGTTAGGAGTGTAGAGATTCGATTGCAACAGTGCCTTGACTTCAAACTTTGAGAAAAAGATTAGTCACTTCAAAATTGATCTTGAGAATAATTTCAAAGTGAACCAACAAAATTGTATAGAGTGTAGAATGTGACTTTAACTAAGGATACTAATACTCATTATAGAGACACTGTGAGGAAAGTACTTTGAAAACCTTAGGTATTATAGAAATATGAGGTTATAACCAATGTTCTTACAATTTGAATAAAGCTTCTCTTAGAATCACAGAGATAGCAAAGTACCTGGAAATATCCTTACCATCCATATTGGTTCATACATATTGTTTATGAGTCCTGGACTAGTCACTTCTCCTCTCATTGCCCCCAGGCAATGCTTTAAAGACTCTTAAGTTAGGGAGAAATGGATATCTTCATGGAAGGAGGGAGCTTTCTCCTCCAATGAAATTACAGGCCCTAAGAGGGTTGGGGGTGGGATAGGGGAAGGGTGGTATTTGGTAAGATGGTTGTAAGGCCAGTGATTTGCAAACCCTGAAGCACTCCCAACCTATTAGTCGTTGATTATCTTGTCTGTAGTATCCAGTTATCTTGTTTATCCTTCTCTCTCTTTCTCTGCCATATGTTTGGCCCTTATTGGCCCATTTTCCATCAAAGGAAAGGTAAGGGATGTTGTTTTCATTTCTCATTCATTACAAAACCCTCTTCGATTTATATTAGAATAATTAGAAAATGTTCTTGGTCCTATTTTTCAATGTCTGAAATAATTTACAAAATGAAAAGATGCTATAATCTCATAGACTAAAAATTATGTCTTGGGGCAAATCTAAGTCAAAACTTTCCCTGCTTAGGTTGAACAATTGAGGATTTGAGGTACTAGCTTTTTTGAGCAGCTGGGATGGGATGTTGTTTCTACTGTAAGTGTGAATAATACAACTCTAATGCTTTTGCTTCTCCTTAAACAACATTGGATGTTTACTGATGTTTGTGGGAACATTTTTTTTTAAATCCAGCAATTTCGAGCACTCATTCTTTGTAGTTTTTGTCCACCCTGTGGCTGTGATGCCTGAAGAGCAGCCAAAAGGAAAGAACAAGGGTCACACCAAGTTACAACATTGCCTACACTGGGAAGTTGCCTAAATACCTTGTGGCTTCAGACTTGCCCTCTACAGAAACTTTTCTAATTTTGGATCATGGAGCCATGTGACCCTCACTCTCATCCAATTGCTAGTAATTTGGCATCAATATACAGTCAGATCCCTCAAACTTTACCCACTCCCCTCCCCTGTAAACAACCGACCAGGGCAAAAAATACTAAATTATTTTGGACCATGTTATTCTGTAAGCTAGGTGGATTTTATCTGGCAACCAAAGGGTGTAAATATGTGTTTAGACCCAGACACACCCACAGAGGAAACTTACTATATGTAGACATGAGCAAGCCAAAGGCTTTCGATGTCAACTGCTTTAAAGTTCTACATTTAGACAGCTATAAGATTGTGACAAGCAGACAAAAGCCACCAAGCCATCAGCTCCTTTTTAAACTCTTTCCTCTTATTGCTGGAGGTAGGCACCTAAAGACATAGGGCTTTGAGGGAAGGATCCAGCATTTAAACTTACATTTTGAATTTCCTGGTTAAAGCAACTTCGGTAAGCATTATTTACATTTTGTTTCTAATTTTTCACAATAGGCAATAACTCCTAACGAAGGGAGACTGCTTGGATTGCCCATTCTGGAGGCTTGGTACTTGAATGGAACTTAAAGGGTTCAAGGGCTACAATTTAGCATGCCATGAAACTGAAGTTTTGGACAAACTCATTGGATGACAGCTAACTCTAACTGGCTGAAACAGAAAGTCTAACTGTAAATTCATTCTTTTGTGGCAGTGAGGGAGAAAAAAACTGTGGCAATCACATTATCGGATGTGCCCACCACAGTACACATTTGCTTACAGTCTAGCCTTTTATTTTTAAGCTGACATCAACTTGTATATAGGAATGTTCAGCAGATTCCAGCTGGTGGCAATTTGCTGCTGACTGGCCACAGGGAAAAAATAAATCTTTGACTATGCATATTCTACTGGTCACTGATTCCTGTGCCAGACTTCTGCCTTGGCTGTCTTCCTCTATCAATCAGGTGAGACCCAGGGCAAGGCTAGGAATATTTCACCTTTGGAAAAGCTTTCCCTCCATTTGTGAAAGCCAGCAATTCAGAACCCCTAAAGAGAACAATGAAAGGGCTATTTGCTATTTCTTGTCATGGAACACAGAAGCAGTTCTGTTTGGTTAACCCAATGCCAGCCACCTCTGGGCTAACAAGGGCATATTGTTATACTTGCATTGCCTGTCTGCTTTTACATGACTTGTGCTTTGACGCATGTGAAATGCAAACTATATAGTTTTGTCATCTTCTATTTCTCCTTTTACCATCAACATTTGGTGTCTGGAAAAAAACATGTAGAAAGGCCCTTTAAAAAAACACTGGAGAAATAGTCAGCCTCAGTGATCTGCCATACTCCCTAATTCTGATCTCCCCCAAACTTGCAGTTCTATTTCTGGGCCTCTCATGAGCAGTCTCTCATTCTGAATTGTGGTAGGATGGAGATGTTTATGTAAAGTAGAAAGTTCTCTAGGCCCAAGAAGGAAACCACCAAACTAATTTTACTTTGACTAAAACAAGTTTTGAAACCAAGACCTGAAATGGGAATGACTATGAAATTACTTATCTAGTCATCTAGGTTGATATATCATATTGGGAATTACAGCCATATGAGAATCTGAGAGTGAGGTTTCCTGAAATACCTAAAGGAAAGGAAACTAAATTGGTCATTCTCTTTAGGGAATAATGTATGACCCACTTTCTATTTGTGAATATTTATGATATTGAGTTGCATAGGGTCCTAAATTATCATGGTGGCTAATGCTAAACTAGCAACACAGTTATAAGCAGGGTTCCATAAATTCTGTTACACAATAATCTTGTGGAGATTCATGAAGTGTTAGAAACAGAACAAATCAAAGTTGGGTTCCCGATCCTGTTCTTGGCAAATCTACCTCATTGTTTGTCTTTAATCAATTATTTTTAAGTTTAATTTGGCTAAAAATTAAAAGGTATCCATCTGAACAATTGGAATTCTTTTGTTTTTCTCTTTCTTTCTTTCAGGGAGAGTGGCTAAGGAAGTGGAAAGGTCTTGGTTGAAACCAGAAATCATGAACTGAATGCATCATTTGTCCAGATGGCAACAAACTGTTAAAAGAAGCCATAACTGTGGAGGGCAGCTGAGGAGTAAGAATGACTCCAATATACCTCTTGAGGAGGAATCAATACAGGCTAGTCACAGAAGCAACTTTGTCCATGTACCCTTAGCCCACAACTTTAAAGTTCAGCATCTTCTTCCTCCATGGTACCAAACCTTGATGTTAGGGATGCAATACCATGTTCATAAGAATCGAGGGTTTGTCCTTACTCAAAATTTGGGGGACTGGCTGAAAAAAAAAAGAAACAACAAAACAAAACAAGGAGACCTTATCCCTAAGTGAAAATAGTTACATATAAACTATCATTAAAACCCATGGTTAGCTTAGGTGAAAGAGATATTTCAAGTCATCAGATGCCACTTGAGTTAATACTAAAGCAACTTTTAAATAAAATGAAAAACAAACTATAGGTAGAATCAACTGGAGTTCGTTACTGTAGGGAAAGGAACATCAATACATTTTGTCTCTTCAGAGTATTTATATCAGATTTCCTCTGGGATTACTTGATTAAAGACTAATTTACTGAATATGTGGGGCTGTAGTGAGGCCTCTTTACCAAGGATGCCAAGTGAATTAGCTTAGTGAAGTCATGAAAAGGACTTGCTCTTTTCAAACTTGGTAGCTCTAAAACATAACTGTGGGACTAAAGGGCCATCCTGATGCGGGCCTATGGTTCTGTCATATGAACAAATCAGAATCAGGACATGATTTGGTCATCAGCCTTAATGGTTAGACACAAGTAGTGATTAGGCTCTATTCTGTGTGGTCCCATGTGTGGGTAAACTGGAGTGAATTGGACTAGAGGGTAAATCCTTTGAGACAGCCCAACTTAGCCAAGCTTGGAGAAGATCCTATGAAGTGATAGCTAGGATCTGTTCAAAGGAGGCCCTTCAATTGTTACTATTATTATTTTAATGTGGACTAAATGGAGATGGGAGCAATGAGGTAAATGAAGAAGTGCTCTCCTTGGATGGAGACCCTCTCCATCATACCCCACCCTTCTATTCAGATTGTTGTAAAACATCTTAGTTCAAGGATAAGGGAGAGGAGCAGAGTACAAGCCAGTGAATGAATGCCAGAATCAGCTGTTGCCAGGAAAAACACACTCTGATTCAGTTAATTTGTTCTGTTAATGGCAAGGCTGCAATTCCCAATAAACTAATTTTAAGAAGCTGTAACCAAGAATAACTCTTTGAGAAGTAAAGTTAGTGTTTGATGAAGATTCTGATTTTTAAGTAGGAGAACAAGGTCATGATGGGACTCTACGGAGGCAGTTGTATCTGCTTAAGATAATCGCACTGAGCAAGTATACAGCTGGATTTCTCCAGCCTGGCTTATTCTCTTTAGAGAAGAGCTGGGGGTAAGGAAGGAGGGGATAACCCAGATCTCCTGGCAACAGAAAATGTTTTACAAATCATAGACGCTGCACAATCAACTTACTCACTAAGTCAGCACCCACATTTGTAAGCTCTGTTGGGCCAGACTCTTCCCTATTCAGGTGGGATTAATTAAGGCAAGCACACAGCATGCAACGGTTTTAGCTTCCTCACAGAAAAATCCAGTGTACATAAACCAAAACAGCTTGAGAAGCAGAGGAAGAAACGGGCCCAAATTTACCCCCCCTCCTCTCTCCTTCCCCTCCTGTACATCAAAATGGAAAGCAATTTAAAAAAGAACAAGAAAAAGAAAAAAAGACCCAGAACACTCATGGTTTCTTTAAAAGGACAAGTAGCTTGATTAACTCTGAATGAGGTTTGACAAAATTATCTATTCTCTTAAAAGGCAAGGTCATAACTTGCTAATGAATTGGTGGACTGTCCAGAAGAAAAGGAAGCAGAAGCCCACACTGAATCCCCTCCTTCCAAAGATTCACTTATTGCTTTTGTAACGATATTAAAGGCAGCAGGGAATCAGCAGGACAGTGTTCATGTTGCCTTGTCACGTTGGGAGTTTCTGTTTCAGATAGACTAGAAGAAAGGGCTTTCAGTGAAGCAAAGAACTTGAAAAATGAAACTTCTTTCTCAGAAAGCTAAATTTGCTGTTGTCCTGGAAATGATGAAGAATAGCACTTATGTCTTTTTTATTTTTCTCTTTAAGTAGAAAAAAATTGTGGCATACTCATCAGGAAAAAAGAGAATATATAAATAAATAAAACACTAGTAAAGTTTTCAGAATGTCTCTCAACCTTTTTTTGAAATCTTAAACCCCCTTTCTGGCATGCATTTGCTAGGATTCCTGTTCTGGCTTTTTATTAAAAACAGACGTTATGTGGTCAGGGTACTCCAACTAACGCTAAACTTTTAATGGGCAGAAGGATCCTGAAATATTCTTTCTTTCAGGTGACTTGGCCCCTCACAGGGCTTTTCATCTCCACTCACTGAACTGATGAGTAAATTAGAAGCCTCAGCAAAAACCATATACTTTCTTGTTTCAACTGTATTTCTCTTTTAGGGTAAATTCTCTATTGAATTTATCTATAACCCACTTAAAACTTTTTTTAAGTGAATGCTAAAAATGAATAGCAAATTTATTTTAAAAAAGAATGGAGAATACCTCCTGGTTTATGGGAAAATATTCTTTTGACTCTTTTCAGACAATGATATTTCATTAAAAGTCTTTGCTTTGAGCTAATTATGTCTTTTGGCTGACTAATAAAATTAAGTGCATTGTTGGGGGAAAAAAATAAGAATTTATCTCCAACCTAAAATACGGTTACAGTGGATCTGTCTTGAGGCTATTCTAAAATTCTCTTTTATGGCAACTTTTGAGTCTTCTCTGTGTGTGCAGTGAGGGCCTTTTAAACTCACTGACCCCCTTCACCAGCCATTCCTTTCCCTGCCAGCAAGCACAGCTGTAAAATGATGGGCTACTGCAGCTTTTTCTGTGAGGTAGGAAATGCCATGAGTGGCTCCACCCAGCTTAACGAGTCAGTTTAGGATTCAAAGGATTATGTTCAGACATGCTTTTGGCAAGCCATCTTATCTGCAACCAAGAAGTAAAGCAATCATGCGAGACAGGCAAGACAGGTAGGTTCAATGCCAAGGCCAGGCATTGCTAGGTTGCTATGGTTTCTTCTTCGAGTGACCCAGACAGAATCCTGGCCTTCACTTCTCCTGGGCAGGGCTCCTTTCCCCCCCTTCTCTGAACCTCCTCCATCCCCTGATGGCACAATGGCAGACACTGTTTTCCTCTCTATCTGAAGTTCTCCAAAACCAACAGTTTGTAGACTGCACATTGCTGGTGTGTTCTTGTGAGGATTAGTTCCGAAGCCTGACTTTTTATATTCAAGGGAAATTCTTTGGCATATTTTTGCTGAGGTTCTCATGCTAGAAGAACATTTCAGCTGAACCTGAAGTGGGCAGGCCAAACCTGGAGGGCAATGGGATGTGGGTACGTTAGTCAAATATTCTGGGAAAATGGAACGCTCAGCCCACGGTGTGTGTTAGCTCTACCTGTCTGACACCCTTGACCTAAGCACATCTCTCCTTCCTGCTGCTCCATTTCTACCTTGAAGAGACCTGAGGCATCTTATCTGAGAGGGAAGTAATAGTACTCAACTTTGACAGGTGGACTGGCACCTCTAAATTCAAGTATTTTCTCTTTTTGTTATACATTTATACAGTTATATTTCTTTCAGAAAGCATGGGAAGAGTTTAGTTTAATAATTTTTTTAGAGTAGCACTTACTGCCTGGCCCATTTGTGCTACCTGTATTTATTATTTTTGCTTCTAAAGCCTAAGACTAGGCAACCTTTGGTTTCTTATGCCTTGAAATATGCAAAATTAAGGTTGAGTTGTTTCAGTCATGTCTGACTCTTTGTGACCCCATCTGGGGCTTTTCTTGGCAAAGATACTGGAGAGGTTTACTATTTCTTTCTCTAGCTTGTTTTCCAGATGAGGAACCGAGGCAAACAGGGTTAAGTGACGTGCCCAGAGTCGCACAACTAGGAAGTATTATGTGTCTGAAGCGGATTTGAATTCAGGTCCTCCTGACTCCAGGGCCAGTGTGCTATCCACTGTGCCACCTAGATGCCTTAAAATTAAGGTACTGTATAATTTTTGACCATAACTATATGTAAATATGTTCTTAATTTGTTATAATGTTTCCTTATAATGTAATATTTTATGTCTTACGTCAAATTAGTGACTATTCTCATAGCATACTATGCTTATAATAAAATTTCTAACCATAAAGATTTGTTTACAACTTTGAAGTATTCCTATTCTTACAAATTGCATGCAGCTTGAGATAAAATATTATTTTGATATTTAAAAAAATTATACTTCAGAGGTTATTTGGATGACCTGAGAAAGATACATTCTGGAATTTGTCTGGAAATTGAGAAGGTGTGATTATCGCACACAACACTGCACTCCACATAAAAAAGACAGAAAGCCTACAAAACTCCAACCTCTGCTGTAGTCCTGAGAGCAGCTGCCACGGTGTCACTCAGATGGACCGGGTTTTCTTTAACTAAATTCTGTTTGTAGCTGAGATATTTTAAATTGTTGAAGGTTCCACAATGACTTTTTGCCCAAATAGCAGGCCCACTCATTTACCTATGTGGATCTGCTGTAAATATTTGCCCACTCATTTACCTATGTGGATCTGCTGTGAATATTTG